CTCAGGGTCAGAAGGAGGAGTAAAGAAACATTTCCTAGCATGGAGAGGTTGAGGGTCCCTTGGTCTAGGACTCCGCTGTACCTGGAGGAGGTTCTTCCACTCCATCGATGGGCCCACTCATTGATGAGATCACTGTGTTCACACTGGTACAGCCAGAGAAGGGCTGGATCCTCTGTTAGCTGTTCCTCTGGGTTCCTTTCGCACAATGCATATGTGCAACTCGGACTTGGAAATGGTGTGAGAAGGGTTGTGGCCATTCTTTTTTTTTTCAAGACAAGATTTTTCTGTGTAGCCCTAGCTGTCCTGGAACTTGCTCTGTAGATCACGCTGGCCTCACAGATCCACCTGCCTCTGCCTGCCTGCCTGCCTGCCTGCCTTTGCCTCCTGAGTGCTGGGATTAAAGGCATGTGCCACCACTGCCTGGCAGCTGTGGCCATTCTTATCTGTATTTCTGACTGGCTCCAGATCCACACTCCACACTTAGGGTATCAGAGATAGTGGGAGGACAGCTGTCATTTGGAGGTGACCTATTTGGGTGACAATCACTGTCTCTTATCTGTTGTCCCTCTTCCCGTGTCACCTATGAGGCCACCTCCAGATCCCTCCTCCTCAGCCTTAGCTGGCATCTTCACCACTGTGCTACTTGGCTTTCAGAGGGCTGTAGAGTTCTACTCTCCTCCTGGCTGCCCACACAGTCTGCTCCTGGGAACCATTTGCAGGAATTACCCCACTTTACAACTCCCGTGGTCACAGCCAGTCTCCTACATGCAGCTCTGTCTCATGGCTCCAGACTTTTGACATTACTTCCACATCACTGGGGCTCCACAATACAGCATATGTCCAAAGCTGATGAGTAGACATTAGTGTCTCCTTCTCTCCTCTGACAGACACGTCTAGTCTTCTGCCTTATTTGCAGGACCAGTATACTAGATGGGGCTCAGTGTCCAGTATGGCAGGTGGTGGGAAGGCTAGTGTGATTTCTTCAGGAAGGAGTTGATGATTGGCATCTCTAGTCCTTGTTGAGTTTGGAAGTGAGGCTCACAGACAGATTCTGGTAAGGCAGTCTCCATAGGGTGAGCACATGGGCAGGCCTGGGTGGCTCCTTGTTCCTGGCTCAGTCTCCAGCTACCCTCTTCCTCACAACATGTACCAGAATTTAAATGATGTGGATTTAGGCATTGACTTGTTTATTTAACCCGTCTTCTCTACTTACTCACACACCATGAAGACAGGGACTATGTCCAATATGTCTCCGCCTTACACCAGAGCCCAGTAACCATACACAGTTTAAAGTAAGTGGTTGGTGAAGGACGAGAGAACGGGTGGTCTGTGTGAGTGAGCGAGTCAGTGAGCGAGGGTGCATGAGTGTGAATGGGTTTGTGATTGCATATGAGTGTGAGTGGGGAATGAATGTGCATGAGTGTGAACGTATGTGAGTCCATGAGTGAGTGAGTGACCTTGTCAAGGTAAAGCTGATGATTGGCTCCAGCGACTCTTGCAGCATCCAGACAATTTGCCAGATACTCTCTCACCAAACAGCCAGACCACAACACAGGCTCCTTACTGGTCCCAGAATATCAAGGGAGGGGCAACTTCATAGTAGACATAAACACATGAGGCTGGTGTCTTAGGGATGGAGGTCTTATGGCCACTTTTGTGTGACTACCACTCTGAGTCATTTTCACCCTGGGATTGAGACCATCCACTAAGCAGTCTGTCCAGCTCACCTGAATGGAAGTGTGCCGTCCACAGCACATGGTGAGCATTGTGGTGATATCTTTCATGCACAAATAAAGCCTGTCTGGGGGCCAGAGAATGCAGCTTGCCACTAGCTAAACATAGAGGTCTGGAGGGCTGTACAGACAGGTAGGGAGTGAACCAGGATAATCTGAAGGACTGGACCACCTTATCTTGGTAAGGTTTAGTTATCACCACAAGCATAGTATGGGAGCCCCACCCTAGAAACTTGATCTTAGCCGCTAATTGGCCAGGTGCCCCTGGAACCCTTGTTATAGCCCGTGATTTTATAAAATGGGAAAAGAAAATGCTTGAAGAGGACTCAAAAGGCTATATAGGGGGAAACTCTTGCGAAGATGGCAATGAAGTCCAGGACAGTCTCCATGCCTGAGGAGGTGAGCAGGCTCCCAGGATGGTCAAGTGGGAAGAACCCACCATTTCTATAAAGTACCCAAGAATTAGGGTCATGATTTGACCTGGAAGAGTACTGAGCGGTGGAGTGGTGGGGCTGTGTGAGCTTTTGGTGGTCCTTCTGAGGTGGGGCGGGGAAGGGGGGCTGTGTCCAGGCACAGAACCCACACAGAAGCTCCCCTCTTTTCTCATCCACAGTCTCAGGAAGGCATTCACATCTTGAGAATATTCCAGAGCCCTGCTTCCTGTTGGGAGAATGCAGTGGTTTAGTCCAGAGACATGTCCGGTCTCTAAGAGTCTGTCTGAGGCACATGCCCTGCCCTAGTGTGTCAATATTTCTGTTTGTCCTAGAGGCCCAACACTCCACTTGTTGTCTGGAGGGCTCTTATATATGCTGGAATTCACAAGAGAACCCTGAAGGATAGGTGAGGTGGCTGGAAAGGCCATGGGAAACTGGTCTGGTGTCCAAGGGGCCTCTTCCAGTACTGTGTTTGATTCTCACTTCATGAGCTCCAGCTGGTTTTGCCCAGTTCTACAATTCATCCAGAGACACCCCCTCACCCCCCAGCCTTCAGACTAGAGAGCCTGTTGGATCAATTTGAAACCTTTAAACCATGTCATTGATTTATGGATAGGGAATTGGCAAGTGGCTCTAAAAATCAAAATTGAAGACCATGTGAAACACCAGATGGATATTTGAACACAGGTTCTTCCCTTTTAGACCAACGACTTCCCAACGCTTTCCAAACAACTGCTGAGTGAATTACCGGCAAATGCTAGGCAACTGTCAAGACATCTGTCTAGTGGGGTAGTAGCCACACCTGAGTGAGGTGACCCATTCAGACTCATGCCTCGGTACCCAGGGCCTTCTAGGAAATCCACAGTTCCAGTGTGTATCTTGTTTCTAGAAATCTCACCTTCAAAACCTGGACTTGATGAGCCACAGTGTAGATGTGCACTGAAAACACACACACACACACACACACACACACACACACACACACACACACACACGGGTAAAAACATAGATCCACATTTTAAAAGTGTAAAAGGACTTTTATGTATGTTTACTTTTACACCATGGACCTCCTGTTGTTTTTATCACCTCAAAAAGAGCTCTGGGGGAATTGCTTCTTAAACGATTCAAGAATGTTGGGCTTTTTGAAATTCATCAGACAGTAGACGAGATAGAGAATTATTATCAGGCTCCAACTGCAGGGCTGCGGAGTGAGACGTCTGCTAGAAAATGCTCAGCCAACAAGAAAACCTTTATGTCTGTACAAAAAGAGCCTGAGGGCTTGCAGATTCCCCAAGGTGAACTATGACCAGATGGCACTGAGTCAAATGTCTACCGTGGCCTGCACACCCAGTGCAGCATATACATGAAACCTCGGCTCCACAAAACATGTGAGGCCCACGGCAGTACCATCGGCATCTCCCCAGGGACACATAGAAGGATGGGAACACGAAGGGTGGCCTTGTGTTCTGAGACCTTCTGCTAAGTCTTTGAGGCTTAACCCAGAGTGAAAACTCTTCAGTGGGGCTGGTGAGATGGCTCATCGGGTAAAGGCATTTGCTGAGTCCAGTCCCTGGGTCTACATGATAGAAGGAGAGGGCCAACTCCTACAAGCTGTCCACTGGCCTCCCGCGTGCACTGGTCCAGTGCACAGGGACACGAAAATATCTAAGTGCATTAAAAAGTCTTAATTCTATGACTAAAGCCTTTTGACATGAGAGGCGTACTAGCCTCTGCTGGCCTTATTTGCATAAAGTTTAGCTGAATGAATGACAGTAGCTAACCGTGTCTGCTGTATACAATTACAGGGTCCGTTGGGGAGGAACTGCCAATATCTGGGCTCTGTGGGTTGGATGGCATCAGACGGTGGCAAAGATGGAACAGGCTGAGTCTTTTGAATTGACCTCTGTCCTGCTTCAGCATGGAGGAGGGCTGCCCTAGCCCATCTATGGGGGACCGTAGGAACCACAGTGGGTACAGTAAGAGGAGAATAAAGGGAGTCAGGGTTTTGTCATTTCCTGTGTCCTGTGGGCATAGTCTGAAAGGGAAAGTCCAGGTTCTGCATCCTTCTTTCATCAGAAGTGTTGGGATAGAGAGGAAGAGGCAAGAAAACACCCCCAGGCCCTAGAGATTTAAGCTAGCAGCTAACCAGTCCAGCACTTAGGAAAGGCTGGTTCTTTAGTTTCTCTTCCTCACTACAAAGAGGTGGGGGGGTCTCAGCTTTCTTGCTGATACACCCCATCTGAATTGGATATGCTCTTGGGGCTATCGTGCTGTCAGGTGTGTTTGTGAGCTTTACCTCCTCAGAAGCATCTCCCTCATTCGCCGCATGGATAGCCTCTCCCCGTGGGTCACTTGCCTTCAAAGTGTGCCCTGAATCCAGATCCAGATCACTGAGGATCTTCCTCCTGGGCCCTGGGTTTGCAATTCCCTGCCCAGCCCTGGGTTTGAGGGATGTTTCCTCTGACCCCCAAGCCTGGGATCCTGGCTCAGCACCCTGAGTCAGTGATTTCTTCAAAACATTGTATCCTGCAGAGTGTGTTGTGCCAGCAATGAGCCCTTGTGCACTTGTGAACTTTTGGGACAAGGTTGCACCTTTGTCACTTAGAGCAACACGCATGCCACAGTGGTGTAGGATGTGGCCAGCTGTGCGACAGCCCATGCTCAGAGCAACACGGTGGTAGGGACTCTGACCTTCCATGAAGTTTCTATGTGAACCCACGTCTGTCCTAAGCTGGGCTTGTGGACCATTTTGGGTGGTGGCTTGATGTTAGAGTTGACTGCAGGATACCATGCCCACTCGGAAGTAACTCTGTCTTGTGTTTGGTTTCTACAGGGGGTGAAGAAGTTGGATGTGCCCTGCGGAGGGAGAGACTGCAGTGGTGGCTGCCAGTGCTACCCCGAAAAAGGAGCACGGGTAAGTCACAGCAGAGTACAATAACACTTCTTGATGCTGTTTGAAAGTGCCTTCGATTGCCCAGTTCGATCATATTTTGCTATGACACATTACAACTGATTCATCATGCAGTAAGTCACAAAATGGGCTCCATTTGAACTACTCTCCTTTCCGATTTATCATGGTGATCAATACACACAAACACAGATGTCCCCAGGTAGCCACAGAGGTGGGGGGGATGAGGGCTTGGCTACTGAGACCCCTAAGGACTAAAACCTGAGACTGCTCAAATTCCTGACATAACTCAGCAGGTTACCTGGGCTTGCCCTCTGGTGTTCTGAAGTCTCCAGATTATTTGCAACAATGTACTGAAGTCTCCAGATTATTTGCAACAATGTATGTAAATGTGAGGCAATCAAAGGGCTTATCGAAGTGCTTAGGGAAGAATGATAGAGAACTCCGTACGTGTTCAGTACAGGCACAGGTTGTGATTTTTAAGATTAATTTGTGTGTGTGATGAATAAGCGATATCCTAGACTCATGTTTTACATGTGTAAATATTTTATAAACACACTATGTTATATAAAGAGAAGCATGGTTACCCCAGAGATTCAGTGTGGGTGTGTGCAAACTTGAGAGCTCTGGGAATTGCACCATGGGCAGGAATCCTATGAAAGCACTCATGCCCTGAGTGTGCTTGATGAGGGCTACTTCCTAGACAAGCAAGGAGAAGGTCACAGAGAGATCGTCATGGCATCCAGTAGGCAGAGGGTTTAACATCTTCCTTCAGTCTTCAGGTGCTTTTCTGCTCTGTTGCCTTTAAAACTGGTGTTTCATTTTTAGTGTTACTTTTTAAATTTGTGTGTGTGTGTGTGTGTGTGTGTGTGTGTGTGTGTGTATGAATGTTTACATGCATGCATGTATGTGCACTACCTGTGTGAAGTGCTCACAGAGGCCAGAAGAGGGCATCACATCTCCCAGAACTGGGGTTACAGACAGTTGTGAGCCAAAACATGTGTGCTGGAACTAAACCCTAGGTCCTCTATAAGAGCAGCACATGTTCTTACTGCTGAGCCAACTTACAGACTTTCTGGCCCACACCACAATAATAAGCTAATACATAGCTTTTTAAAAGATACGTGTGCAAGTCCTATCCTTCATTAGGCATTGAGTACTTTTTTGGCAATACTTGCCCTCAATGTGCTGTGACCACACACACCCCACTGCCCTCGCTTACTCCCCCACTCACACTTTTCATCCCCCTTCTCAACCTGTTCCCTTCCCTCCCCATATCTCGCCTTCTCTCTCTCTTCCTCTCCCTGTCTGTCTTTTGTCGGTACCACACAGGTTTATTATTTCATGAAGCATAAACTTTTAAATTAGTAGCCTCAAGGACATTTTTTTTTTTTTTTGTATTTTGAGACAGGGTTTCTCTGTGTAGCTTTGGAGCCTATCCTGGCATTCGCTGTGGAAACCAGGCTGGCCTCGAACTCACTGAGATCCTCCTGCTTCTGCCTCCCGAGTGCTGGGATTAAAGGTGTGTGCCACCAACACCCGGAAGATAGGCCAACTCTTAATACACACCCACAAGGACAGTGATCAGAACCACCAACGCCCGGCTTACATTTTCATTTTTTAAAAAAGGAGGTAATCTTTTCACTGGGGTGGAGCTCTGTGTTGGATCATGTGCTTAGCATCCACAATGTCCTAGGCTTGGCCCCCAACCCAGTTTGCATGCATGGGTCAGTGGGGAGTGGTAGTCCACAGTGGGTTACCCCATGTCTGCTACATCTCTCTTCCTGGGACCCACACCCTGCCTGTGTTACCTTTGCTTTGTCAGTGCAGCTGGGCAGCAGCCAGAAGCTCTTGACACTTGCCCTGCAGTTGTCCATCACAAAGCCTCTTGATTCCCCAGTGAGCTTCACCCAGGCCCATCCCTGAGTCAGTATTTAGGTCAGTTGTTCCTGTTCCTCTTCTATAGCATGGCCCTCGTGGTTGGGACACACACCAATTCTGTATTGGGTCTCCATTCCTGTGCCCCCTACAAAAGGTCCAGCAGAAGGTCTTGATGGCAAGGACTCTCTTTTCAGATGTGATGGTCTTTGCTGACTTGGCTGACTGATCACTGTGTTGGTGGAAAACACGGCTGAAGGCCCCATGTCCTATACCGTGTGCACAAGGAGCCCCAATTCTAAAGTCAGTGATGCTTAGCCTACATCAGTGTTTTCTCTACTTGGACTGAGTATCTTTTAGGGACTGTTAGCTGAAGATCATTTGTCATCGTTTCAAAAGGACAGACATATATAGTAGATATAGATATAGGTCCTTTTTGTTTAGTTTGTTTGAGACAGAGTCTCACTGTATATTCTTGGTTGGCCTGGAATTCTCTTTGCAGACCAGGCTGGCCTTGAACTCATAGAGATCCTCCTGCCTCTGCCTCCCGAGTGCTGGGATTAAAGGTGTGCACCACCATGCCCAGACTCATTTCTTGAGATTTAAAATCCTCCTAGGTCCCTTGCTATAGATTTTGCCAAAGATGAAATGATCTATGAGTGATGAGGGTACCCCAACACAGTCACAGGCTCCCCAGGCCAGTCCTGGGCTACCTGAGCTCAAACTGACTCACCCGTATGGACACAAAGCTGATCAATTGGTGCTGTGCAGAAATCTAGATATCTCCAGAAGCAACCAAGGGAGATGGAATTAGACCCCAGGAGGACGCTGCATTCTGCCTCCTGGGATAAGCCAGCCAGAGCCTGAGACCAACAAGCAGCTCCTGCTTAGCATTCCTTGTGTGTTGTGATATCCAGAGCCCAGAGCAGAGCCCATAGATGAGAGGTTTGCACGGTGTCTCTATGAGGACTTTCTTCTCCCTACAGACCACTAACACTGTTTGAGCAGAGACTGCATGGCAGTGTGCTCTCGCCTTCTACCCAAGCTCCTCTGAGCAGTTCCAGGAAGGAATCACCAAGGATTCCTGAGGGCTTGTCATTTTCCAGTGTCCCTCACTAAGTAGGCACCTGAGTCTGGTTTGACTGTGGCCACTTTAAGTGAAAAGCTGACTCTGCCCCTGACTTAACCAGTGGTCATCAGAACCTGGCCTGGAATGGCTTGCTTCTCATTGTTAGGCAGATTGTCAAGACAGAGGAAGTGATCCATCATGGGGCTTTACCTTGGTGTCACCGTCTCAGTGTTCCCATGCTAGGTGGTCATCACTTGGCAGGGTCCACTCCCATGCTTGGTTGTAGCTTGATTCTATCTCATCCTTGCACCTTTGAAAGGACAGAAAGCTACCATAAGGCTGTAGGCTCAGCCAGCCCGCAAGATGTTAATCCAAGTGTATCATTGTACATCACAGGGTAAAACATGGAAACTGCTAATGATACTATGTGAATGTACACTTTACCAAAGATATTTTCTTCCCGGGCCAACTGAGTGTGTTCACCTCAAACACTGGTGGAGACTTAGAGTGTTTCCGTATTGTAAACCAGGTGTGTGCACAGACTGTAACATGGTCACCCATACATATTTCTGCAGAAAGCAGGGCTCCTTCTGCACTACTTTTGGCTCAGTAATACTTTTCTTAAATAATGTAATTGTAAAAATAGCACTAGGGCGGGATCTGCTGTCCAGAGAGCCTTACGTGGTGTGTTCTTTCCCACAGCTTCCCCTAGGGTCACTTACCATATATTTTCCCCACGGAGCTACTATAGCCGCCACACAGCCTCCCTGCAGACTGTGTTCCACTAACTCAACCTTATATGGACATGGTACCCTCGTTACTGTGTTCTCACCATGGTGACAGCCAACAGCAGAAACTCTGTCACTGGATAACTTTTGGACTCCAAGGAGAAATCACAGATGTACTGTGTCTGGTTCCAAGAGAACACTCAAGTTACAACGTGAATGGGTTTGTGTAAGATTCAAAGAGCACAATTCTCCACCCTAGGTGCTGAGCTGCAGGGAATGGGGTCATTGCTTCCCACAAACAGAGCCTCTAGAAAATTCCAGTGAGCCACAGGATTAGGGCAGGAAGAGGCAGGAACTGTGGCAGAGTCCTCTGTTCCCACCCCCTCACTCCCTGGCCAGAGCAGGGAGCAGCAAAGTGGGGTCTAACCTTCCTCTTCCCATAAATTACGACACATACAACTCTAACAGATGGTTTAGGACCTCCTAACCTGTCCTTTCTCCTTATACTCTATGAAGCCAGATGCATCTCAGTAGAAAACACGAAGTGAGTGTTGTCCAAAGCCACAGTGTCACCACCGTCTAACCGGTGAAGACCTTCCGAGATCCCTTAAATCTAACAATGTAAATCAAAGTGAAAGAGCTGGGTAAAGATGAAGGGAATGGTGGGGCATCTTGGTAGTGCAGGCCTTTAATCCCATCAGAGGCAAGTGAATCTCTCTGAGTTAGACGCCAGCCTGATCTACATAGTGAGTTCCAGACCATCCAGGGCTACACAGTGAGACTTGGTCCTGATAAAAAGAAGCATGGAGGAGAGGAATGCCTCGTCATCGGGTCTTTGCTGTTGTTTGTCAAGGAGCAGAGGCCATGGCAGCAGGGAGCAGCCAGCCACTGGTGAGATCTTTCTAAGTGGGCTATACTGTGGCCAATGCCATCCTCACTGATAGGTGACATGGCACACTCGGCATACTCAGCAGAAGTCACCTGCAATGTTTCAGATGGCCACCACAGGAAAGGGCAAAGAATGGTCCCTATGGCTTGTGTCTACATGTCGCTCTCAGATACTTCAGGAAGCAGGGGTTTGATACCCCTGGGACTAAGCTGCACAGTTGATCTCCTAAGTACAGGTTTTCATGGGGACCAGATATGCATCAGGGTCATTTTCCCTTAAAGTGTATATGGCACTTGACATTGAAATCACACTTGGTTGGTGTCTGTTGAATTAGGAAGAGCCCCAGCTTCCTCTGCCTATGGGATTCTACATATCAGCACTCACAGCCTCCCACCCCAGCATCTGTAAGCAAGGCCTTTGACTAAGAGCAAGGACTTTCTCA